GTTTGGCTTTTCTTAACTTGTTGATTCATGAGTAATTTAATAATAATATATCTTTATTTTATTTATTTATTTTATTAATAGAATAAATGCATTGATATAGATAAGTAATTACTATGGAAACAATACAAATATTTTATTTGTACAGATATAAATTTTTCTTAATCAAATTATATTATTTAAAAAGTTTATTTATGGATAAATTCTTGAAGAAGTTTGACATTGTATATCCAATATGTATTTTTATTTATTTATTTATTTTTACATCTGAAGATGATATCTACCTTATCATGAACTAATTCAGTAATTACTCATGTTACTACTTAATTATGTATAATTACAGCCAGTTGTAAAGTTAAAGGGTTGAGTTCCAACTCACAACTCACAAAACTGAGCATTAAACAGGGATTTGGGGCATCTGGTTCCTACTTGGCAACTGCCTTCGTCATGCTACTCACAAGTATCAACTCATCCTTCCTTTTTATATATATATTTGTTTGGAGTTTATATTTTTTGTTTGGGTTAAGGGTTTGGATTTTTTTTTTTTTGGTAATATTTTTTTTGGTTTTGACTTTATTTTTTATTTTTAATTAGATAAAGTTTATAAGAAAAAAATATTAACATAGAGATGATAAAATAATTAGTATTTGAAGAATTTTAGTTTGCACCTACTTAATAAGTGCTTTTTTTTTTTTTTTTTATAAATTTGAAGTCAGATTGTATTTTTTTTTAAAATAAGGATCAAGTCAGAAATAGGCTTTGGACGTTCAGTCCCATCTCAGGTATATATAAAAATAAATACTTTATTATTTATTTAATTTTATATTTATTTATATTATATTAATAAAGTTATTAATTAACACATTAGTTTGATAAATTCATATGATACCCTTATGTGATTTTCTTTCTTTTCTTTTTTCGTCATTTCTTTTTTTTTTGTTTTTACCTTTTTTTTAATTAGATAAATATTGTAAGAAAAAAGTCAATGGAGGTAGTGATGACAAAACAACTCGTATCCCATGGTTTTCGATTCACCTTGATCCAATAAGTAATTTTTTAAAAATTGGATTAGGATGGAGTTTTTTCTTTTTGAAATCAAAGTCGAGTCAGAGACAAGTTTAAGGTATTTCATAAAAACGTATTTTATTATTTATTTAATTATATATTTATTAATAAAGTATTATTAATACTATAATTTAACAAAATACTATAATTATACATAATTAAAACGTAATTTATATTAAAAAATAATGTTTTATGAACATTATATTTAGTTAAAATTATTAAATTAATTTTAGATCAATGCAAGTCAGATGTGAGCTAAACATATATATGTTGGGTCAAGATCAAGGATTAAAAAAAAAAAAAAAAAAAACTCAATTTAAGGTTAGATTATGAGTTGAGTTGAATTATTAAAAACGAGTTGAAGTCAAGTGAACGTAAACTGGCCCCAACCAAACCTGTTGTGATCCTTAAATGGTAGTGTTCATGTGACACCTTCATTTGGCTTATTTTTTTCTTGGGCCTTTACCTTATTCTTTTTTTAATTGTCTAGTTTAGTATTTCTTATCCATATTTTGAAAGATAAATGGGTAATAAAAGTTTTTATGTGGCACTACCATTTGGCTTTTTTTTTTCTTTGATCATTCCCGTTTTTTCCTTTTTTAATAAGATAAATTTTGTAAAAAAAGACAAATTGGATTAATGGAGATAGGATAACAAACCAATCTGTATTCGATGAATTTCTACCCTCAAATCCATTAGGGACATTTTTATAAAATCAAAATCAACTTGGACTAGGATGGTTTTCCTTTTTTGAAAATTAGGATCAGGTTAGAGGTGGATTTATAATGCCCATCTCGTATCGTCCCAAGATATATATAAGAATATATTTTATTATTTACTTAATTTTATATTTATATATGCATTATATTAAAAATATTATTATTTAATACCTTAATTTAATTAAATATTATAGTTATATATAATTAATTTGTAATTTATATTGAAAAATAATATTTTCATGAATGTGATATTATTGAATTGATTTTGGATGAAGTCTAGTCAAATACGGGTTATATATATATATATATATATATATATATATATACATCGGGTTAGGTCGAGTATACAAAAGTAATAACTGACATCAAGTTGGCGTCGGGATTAGCATAAACTCACTTTTACCTAACTCGTTACCATCCCTAAATAGAGGTGTACATGTGACATCTTTATTTGGCTCTTTTTTTAGTTTTAGCTTTTTTATTGTTTATTTTTTAATTGTCTATTTTAATTTTTTAAAATATGTTTGAAAAAATAAATTTGAAAAGGTGAATTTAATTTGATTTGTTATATAAATTATGAAAATAAAAGGCATACATTATGCATAAAATTAATTGATAAATTTGCACTCATCATTACTTCTATTAGAAAATTATAAACGAATTATACTCACTGATTTATTAAATTAATCATGAGTATTATTAACTATAAATTAAAAAAAATTGGATCTGTAGTAAAATGCAAACTTAATTTCTATAAGGTCAAATTATGCTATAGGTCTTTGTATTATGCCAAAATTTAAAATTTAGTCATTGTATTATGATTCATACAAATTTAGTCTTCATACTTTTTCTAATTGGATAATCTTAGTCTAATCACTAACTCTATTAAATTTTTGCTATTAAAAATACTAACATGGCAATTAATTTAATAACGTGGCCATTGACTTAATGATATATGCATTGAATTTGTTGACGTGGTAATATTAATATATGAAATCAATTATTAAATTATACAAATGGTTTATGTACTTACACGAAATTTGAACTTTAGTCTCTTAAGTATAATTCATAAAAAACTCATATACGTACAAGTTGAATTTGATAATGTTGATCTAATTACCAGTAAAAATCATTTATTTTTATTTTTTGAAATTTAAATTTAAATTTAAAAATATCAATATTTTGAATTTTTAGAAAATTTTTTCATATTGTAAAATATTAAATTTAATAATTTTTAAACATTTTAGTTTTTCAAAATCGTATTTTTAGATTTTTTAAAGCATATTTATTTTTAAAAATTAAATATTTTGAATTTTTAGATATTTTCATGATTTTTTAAGTAGTAAAAATTTAATTTTGTCAATATTTTAAATTTTTTTAAATAAAGTTCCTTTTTTGGAAGTTTGTATTTTTTTTCAAAGTTTAATATTTTAGTTTAGTCAAAATATTTAATTTTTTGCTTTTAGTTTTTTAGAATTCTTTTAAAATTTTCTATATTTTTAATCTTTTTTTCTCTTTAGAAATTTTCTATATTTATTAGTATTTAAATGAAATATAAATAAATTATGGAGAAGGCACGATTTTTTAAAATTTGTTATGTTTTAATATATTTGAGGAAGAGCATAAAAATATAAGGTAAAACAAAGGAATGACAAGCACGGAGAGCTTCTAATTGCAATTTATTATTCACTTAAATAAATAAAAATATTTTAAAATTTATAAACTCTTTTTAAAAAATAAAAAAATTAAACGTTAATAAAAAATAAAAATTTAAGACTATGGAAAACTTTATAAGAAATTCTAAAAATTAAAATTAATAAAATTAAATATTTAGATTAAATAAAAATGTTAAAATTTGAAAAAAAAAACAAACTTTCAAAAAAAAAAGAAATTTTAGAAAAATTAAAATATTGAAAAAATAAATTTAATATTTTTAAAAAATCAAGAAAATTTCCAAAAAGTCAAAATGTTAATATATTTTTTTAAAAAAAAATTTGATTTTAAAATAAATAAAAAATATGAATTTTTTTAAATTTAAAAATATCAAATTTAATAGTTTAAAAAAATGAAAAAGTTCTAAAAAATTCAAAATAATAATTTTTTAGAATTTTGAAATATGATTTTTTAGAAATTCAAAAAATATGAATTTTATTGGTAATTAGATCAATATTATCAAATTCAACTTATTTGAAGATGAGATTTTTATAAATTATATTAAAAAAACTAAAATTCAAATTCCATGGGACTATAGGAACTGTTTTCATAATTTGACTATTGGTTTCATTCATTCAGGTTGCAACATAAATAAAGTCAACATTATAAATACTATGTTAACAAAGTCAATATTTCATCAAGTCAATTGTCATGTAAAAATTTTAATATTAAAAATTTAACAGAATTAATGATTGAACTAAAATTATCAAATTTAAATAATATGTGAATTAAATTTATATGAATTACAATATAATATCTAGGTGTCCAGCATCCGTCAATTACATGATGTGTTGACAATTGTTAATTAAATGCTATAATTTTCATATTTTAATTTATAGTTGAAAACCCGTAACACTTCACTATGATGGAACTAGTTGAATGAGCAACATGATCAATAAAAAACAAAATTTAAGTTTTTAATGGCATATTTTTAAAATTTAAGTATAAATTTGAATTGTTTTAGAGTTCCAATACCAAATGCATCATTAACATAAGAAACAATGGTAATAATATTAAGGTTATATTTAGTACACAAAATTATGATATAATAGGATAAAATAATATTATGAATATAATTAGATTAAATAATATCATCTTATCTTATGTTTGATATATACAAATATTAAAATAAAATAATTTATTTATTAATCAATATTATCTTTTCTCAAAGTTTATGTAATTTAAATTATTAATATAATTTTTAAAGGTATAATAAAATATGTAAATTTAATCTCATAGATTAAAAATAATCCTCTTTAATTTAGGATGATTGAATCATCCTATATTAAGAGAAAGATAATTCTCTTTCTAATCTCATCCCTTTCAATTAGATACAAACCAAATATAATATAATATGATTATCATACTATCCTATTAATTATTCTATGTACTAAACATGACCTATAATCTTGATGTTCCACTGTAATATACTTCACTTAATATGATAATAAATTATTATATCTATTTATGGTACCTTTCTTTTTAATTTTTATTAGCGTTCCACTGGTTTCATTATAGCATTATATTGTATGTATGACATATATTTATTTTCCAATATTATATATATGTGGTCAACAAGTCGGTTCTTGTCATATCATGTGTATCGTATATATATTTTTAATAGAAATCCTTTACAGTTTGAGACTGTGTTTTGGATTTTCAGTTGGCATTGCTCTGTTGTACACGGAGATGAAGGATATTGTGATTAAGAAACTATCGTCACGCTCTCTAAGGAGTATATGGTACAAATGGGAGCTTCGGGGGCTGGTTGTGCTCAGTGTCACGGACCTAAGTAAGAGTCTTGAATCACACATCGAACATAATAGGAGGGTCCTTGGGATATAAAAGGGTTCACACCACCTCCGCCTTGTGAGTCACCTTTTGTAGGATAAAACCGTGAGGTCATGGGGGCCAGAGCGGATAATACCTCACAAGGGTGTGAACCGTGACGGTCAGACTGATTCGGGACGCCGGAAGGGTGAATGCCCGGGTCCCGGAGCCGCGCGGGTTCGGAGCTTAAGTATCGACTCGTGACAAGTGGTATCAGAGCCAGCCCTAAACCGTTCGATCCACGCCGAACACCTCGAGGGAGGTAGGCAGGGTGGCCGGCCTCCGTAACAAGGGCGTCACGAGATTGGATGCTGGAGAATGTCACGGACCTAAGGAAGAGTCCTGAATCCCACATCGAACATAATAGGAGGGTAAGGGTTCACACCACCTCCACCTTGTGAGGCGCCTTTTGTAAGACAAAACCGTGAGACCATGGGGGCCAGAGCGGACAATACCTCACAAGGGTGTGAACCGTGGCGGTCAGGCTGATTCGGGACGCCGGAAGGGTGAATGCCCGAGTCCCGAAGTCGCGCGAGTTGGAGCTTAAGTCTCGACTCGTGACACTCAGCCTGTTTCTTCAAATTGTACTCGTCATATTCGGGAATCGACGGAAGTACAGCGGCAAGCGTTCATACCATGTAGCAATGCTTGTTTGGTTAACGTACTTGTTGGCAGACTATGTGGCAACCGTGGCGTTGAGTACCCTCCTTAAGAGCAGCAAGGAGGAAATAACCAGTTCACTGGTTGCATTTTGGGCGCCATTCCTTCTCTTGCATCTTGGTGGCCCTGATACTATCACTGCTTACTCCTTAGAAGACAACGCGCAGTGGATGAGACACTTGTTCGGGTTATGCGTCCAAGTTGGAGTGGCCTTCTATGTCTACTTCAGGTTTTGGACCAATTCTGCTCACACATTTATAGGAATTCCAATATTCATAGCCGGAATAAACAAGTACGGAGAAAGGAATTGGATTTTGCGGTCTGCAAACTACGAACAGTTCAAGAATTCCTTATTTGCAACTCGTAAAGTAGAAAACATTGAGGAAGAAGTTGGCCTTGGAATGGAGGAAGAGGTCGAGCAGCTCAAGGACTATTTAGTTCACAACCGGATTCTTGAAAAATATAGATATCTTCATCAAGCATATCTATCATTTCAGCTTTTCAAGCCCCTGTTTTCAGACCTCAAGTTGAGGGTATACAAAGAGTTAATGAGTTCCATATATACATTGCCATGCACCAATGATCAGGGAAAATCTCAAACTGGTTGCCACTGAACTAGGATTTTTGTACGATGTCCTCTACACAAAGGTTCCCATAATGCTATCTCCGGTGGGTGTAATTCTACGATGCATCTGCTTTTCATCTACCGTTTCAGCGTTGACCGCCTTCACGATATTTGTTTCTAAGTCGGGCTACCCGAAAGTTGACATTGCCATAGCCTATTTGCTGCTGGTTGGAGCTATCCTTCTGGAATTTTATTCTGCCGTTGTGCATGTTCTCTCTGAGTGGACAATGCTCTGGTTGACGAAAGGTGGAAACAAGTTTAGGTATCAGGCAATTGCATCTAACTGGTTGCTCCATATTAAGAAGGGCAAGAAGGTAGGAATGAAATCGTTGGCACAACACAGCCTTTTGAGTTATTGCACTAAGCTCAACAAATCTAAATCTATGTTTAAAAAAATAATAAGGATTTTTGACACTGATGACACTTTGATGAAATTCAGGCATACTACCTGGGAGAATGTGGATAGTTATTTGACTGAATTCATCAGTGATCACATTGAAATGAGGTTCAATAAATATGCAGCAATGGGGAACAAGATCGATGTACTCTCTTCCCTATTGGGTGAAAGAGGAAATAGCGGGATTACTGGGACAGACCCTGAATTAAAACTCAGTTGGACCATAAACGAGGTTGAATTCACACACAGTATTCTTCTTTGGCACATCGCTACCGATATTCTTTTCTATCTTCAACGTCCTGGTAATGTCGGTCCGTATGGCCAGATTAGCAAGCGCTTATCTGATTACATGATGTACCTCCTCTGTATGCGTCCATCTATGCTTCCTGAAGGTATAGGTCAGGTACGACACCGGGAAACCTGCAAGGAAGCAATGAATTTTTACCAAGGGGTTAACAATCACTGAAGCTGCCAGAGTACTATTTCTTAGTGAGAATCTTGATGACGAATCTCGATCGTTATTTCTTGCGATAGGAGGTCAAAGGAAGTCGGTGTTTTTTGATGGATGCGTGCTCTCCCGAAAATTGGTAATGTTGGTAAAGCAATTTCGATGGGATGAAGAAGAAAAATGGAAAATGATTGCTAGCGTGTGGGCGGACATGCTGACTTATGCTGCATCGCACTGTGCATGGAGAGAGCATGCCAAGCAACTTAAGCAAAGTAAGGAGCTGCTCACTCACGTTGCCCTTCTCATGGCACATCTTGGTTTGAGTAGGCATATCGAAATGGCTGAACTTTCGGATGACCTTAAAAGCGAGCACCATAAGCCCCCTTGGCGTTGGGATAAGCTTCATCAATTGGCTTATTACTTGGCTTAATTAATTAAATCATATATATATATAAAATTTCCTTGTTTCCTATCTTTAGATGTAAGGTGAAAACATTAATAATACAATTTAAAAGCTTCCCATTTCTTTCCTAATAAATACTTTTCTTATGATAAAAATTTATAATAGGGCCCACCTTTTTTTCCCTAATTCCCCAAAATATAAATATTCATTGTCGTTATGTTTGTTACTTTTTTTTTTTTTGTTCAAAAGGACAACCTAGTCAGGGAATCTTCTCTTTTTCGTGTCTTTTCCTTTTGTAAAGAAGAGAAGAGAAGAACAAAGAGAAATAATTTAAGGAAAAAGTAATTCTTTTGAAAATAATTACCAAAAATAATGATGATAGAATTAAATAATTAGTGTATTGATCACTGTTTTTGGAATATTTTTTTGGTTTTCTTTTCCCCAAGGGAATACATGAAATAGAATGCTTAATGATAAGTTTGCTTATGTCAAGTGATTATAACATTTTTTAAAAATTAAATTATTAAAATAAAAAAATCAAAATTTTAAATATTATAAATAATAATTCGCTAATTTATTATATTTGAATTTATCATAATTTGAATCCTAATTACTTAAACTAACATGTATCCTTTATTTATTTGAAAGAAACTTTTTTTTAATTAATACTTATCTAAATATAACGTAAGACTACAATAATTAGTGGAAATAAAATTATAAACCTTAAAAAAAATATATAGTATTTGCAGAGCATATTGAAGTCAGTTTATATGTTCTTTGAAGATTTTATCTTGGTTTCAATCAAAACTTGGAAAGGAATATTAGAGTCGAAGATATAAATGAAAAATCAGCTTTAGCTACAAATTCGTGGAGATGAAAGTCTAGGAACTCACAAAATGTTGCTATGTATTTGTTGGTGAAGGATATCGAAAAAAGGGCAAAGGAAATTCTTTGCTTCATGTCTCGCAAAATTAATACTATACCATTTTTCATTAACAAGACAAAGGACATGTGTTGCATATCGTACGGTAATCCTCCTCCAACTCTATAAAACAAACTGGTGGTTAGAAACAAAATTGTTATGGAATTCTAGACTTGTCTTTGTTACCTTTCTGAGAAATTCGTTACACTCAATTTTTTTTTTAATTTCTATTTGGCATGTACTTTTGGTTTGTAGATCCATTCAAGCCTTAGCAAGCAGAAGCTAAGAACAAAGCAAAAGCAGAAGCAGGTGTGCCCTCGCTCTTTAATGTTTAGATCAGTCCATTAGTCGAGTTACCATCCGACCAGCGAGTTTAGCTTAATTCAAAATCGAGCTCTCTGCAGCGCAAGTTTTGTAGTTTGGGTTTGGTCCAAAAATTTATTTATTAATGAATTTGATTTTTTTAATTTAATTTTAATTCTAAAATACATATAATTTTATATTTTTTAAAATATTTTAATATATTTTTAAAAATTGGGAACTTTTGATGCTGGGCCAAGTTAAATATTAGGTAGGATTTTAACTTTTCAATGACCATCGGGTTTGGCTTTCTTTAACCTACTGATTCATGAACAATTTAATAACAATATATCTTTATCATTATTTTTTATTTATTTTATTAATTGAATAAATAATGTTTGATATAGATAAGTAAGTAATATGGAAACAATACAAATATTTTGTATGTATGGATATAAATTTTTCTTAATCAATTATATTATAAAAAAGTTTATTTATGGATAAATTCTTGAAGAATTGACACTTTATATTCAATATTATTTTATTTATTTATTTATTTTTACATCTGAAGATGATATCTATCTTATCATAGAACTAATTAGTAATTACTCATGTTGCTACTTAATTATGCATAATTGCAGCCAATCGTAAAGTCGAAGGGTTGAGTTCCAACTCGCAAACTCGCAAAACTGAGCGTCAAACAGGGATTCGGTGTGCATCTGGTTCCTACTTTTGGCAACCACCTTCGTCATGCTACTCACAGTATCAACCCATCCTTTTTTTTTTCTTTTTATATTGTTTGGAGTTTATATTTATTGTTTGGGCTTAGTGTTTGGAGTTTTTTTTTTTTGGTAATATATTTTTTTTGGTTTGAATTTATTTTTTATTTTTAATTAGATTAAATTTTATAAAACAAATACTAATATATAGATGATAAAATAATTAATATTTAAAGAGTTTCGATTCACGCTAGTTTAATAAGTGCTTTTTTAAAAAAAAAATTTGAAGTCGGATTATTTTTTTTAAATAAAGATTGGATCAAAAGTAAGTTTAGGATGTTCGATTTTCACCTCGGGTATATATAAAAATAAATACTTTATTATTTATTTAATTTTATATTTATTTATATTATATTAATAAAGTTATTATATTTAACACATTAGTTTAATAATTCATATGAACCCTTATGCGATTTCCTTTCTTTTGTGTTTTTACTTTTTTTTTAATTAGATAAATATTGTAAGAAAAAAGTCAATAGAGGAAGTGATGACAAAACAACTCGTATCACATGCTTTTTTTTTTTTAGTTTTAGTTTTTTTATTTTATTTTTAATTGTCTATTTTAGCTTTTTTTAATTATGTTTGGAAAAATAAAATTGAAAAGGTGAATTTGATTTGATTGTTATATTAAGTATGAAATAAAAGGCATACATTTTGCATAAATTAATTGATTAATTTGCAACTCATCATTACTTTTATTAGAAAATTATAAGCGAAATTATATTCAATGATTTATTAAATTAACCATGACTATTATTAACTATAAATAAAAAAAAAAATTGGATCTTAAGTAAAATGTAAATGTAATTTCTATAAGGTCAAATTATGCTATAGGTCCTTGTATTATGCCAAAATTTAAAATTTAGCCATTTTATTATGATTCATAGAAATTTAGTCCTTATACTTATTTTGATTGGATAATCTTAGCTTAATCACTAACTCCATTAAATTTTTGCTATTAAAAATACTAACATGGCAACTAATTTAATGATGTAGCTATTGACTTGATAACATAAGCATTGACTTTGTTGCTGTGGTAACATGAATATATAAAATCAATTATTAAATTATGCAAATGATCCATGTACTTATACGAAATTTGAACTTTAATTCATAAAAATCTTGTCCACGGACAAGCTAAATTGGATAATATTGATCTAATTACTAGTAAAATAATTTCTTTTTACTTTTTTAAAATCAAAATTTAAATTTTAAAAAATCAAAATTTTGAATTTTTAGAAAATTTTTTCATATTGTAAAATATTAAATTTAATAGTTTTTAAATATTTTAGTTTTTAAAAATCATATTTTTAGATTTTTTAAAAGCATATTTTTATTTTTTTAAAAATTAAAATTTTTGAGTTTTTAGATATTTTCATGATCGTTTTAAATAGAAAAAATTTATTTTTGCCAATATTTTAAATTTTTTAAATGAAGTTCCTTTTTTGAAAGTTTGTATTTTTTTTCAAAGTTTAATATTTTAATTTAATCAAAATATTTAACTTTTTTGTTTTTATTTTTTTAGAATTCTTTTAAAATTTTCTATATTTTAAATCTTTTATGTTCTTTAGAAATTTTCTATATTTTTTAGTATTTAAATGAACTATAAATAAATTATAGAGAAGGCACGAGTTTTTAGAATTTGTTATGTTTTAATATATTTGAGGAAGAGCATAAAAATATAAGGTAAAACAAAGGAATGGCGAAGCACAAAAAGCTTCTTATTGCAATTTATTATTCACTTAAATAACATAAAAAATATAAATTTTTTTAAAATTTTATAAATTCCTATTAAAAAATAAAAAAAAATTTAAAAATTAATTAAAAAACATAAAAATTTAAAAATATGGAAAATTTTATAAGAATTTCTAAAAAAATAAAATTAATATAATTAAATATTTAGATTAAATAAAAATGTTAAAATTTGAAAAATACATAAACTTTCAAAAAAAATTAGAAAAATTAAAATATTGAAAAATAAATTTAATATTTTTAAAAAAACAAGAAAATTTCTAAAAAGTCAAAATGTTAATCTTTTTTTTTTTCTGATTTTAAAATAAACAAAAATATGATTTTTTTAATTTAAAAATATCAAATTTAATAGTTTAAAAAAATGAAAAAGTTCTAAAAATATTCAAAATAATAATTTTTTAGAAATTTGAAATATGAGTTTTTAGAAATTCAAAAAATATGATTTTTATTAGTAATTATATCAATATTATCAAATTTGACTTATTTGGAGATGAGATTTTTATTAATTATATTAAAAAAACTAAAGTTCAAATTTCATGGGACTATGAGAACTATTTTCATAATTTGACTATTGGCTTCATTGATTTAGGTTGCGACTTCAATAAAGTCAACATTATCAA